GCGCCCCCTCACTTATCAGTGCTGGCCGCGGAGAAGCCTAATTCAAACCAACTGCGGGGCTGACGTTGGTAAATGAGCCCTCGCCGGGACGGGAGCGGGGGCGGGCGCGGGGGTCGGTGCCAGCAGCCCCCTGCCCGCAGCCTGGCCCCATCGCCCTCCGGGGCCTGGGGCTGCACCGTGCCCCCCCACCCGGGGGTGCCAGGGCCCAGCGGGGAGCCGGGGGCAGCTGGGGGTGTGGGGCAGCCCCAGAGTGCAGGGGAGTGAGGGGAAACAGGGGGTTCAGGGGGTTTTGGGGAGGCCGGGGGGGGGCAGGGAGAGCCCAGGGGAGCCCCAGGCAGCCATGGAGAGCGGGGTTCACAGGATGAGCCTGGAGGAGGATGCAGGATTAGCCCGGGGGGTGCAGAGCGAGGCTGAGGGTGCAGGATGGTCTGGGGGGGGCGTGGGGAGCCCCCTGGTCCCCACTGCCTGGCCCCGGTGCAGGCTGAGGCCACGGGCAGTGCTGGGGGGGGCAGTGGGGCAGGGACAGGTGCCGGGATGGAGTCCTGCACCCCTGGCCCGACCGTGGGGTCCGCCTGCAAACTGCCGTCACGCCAGTTAGTGCGGGGCGAAGGCACTTTGATATCCCCCCCCCCCCTCCCCGCCCCGTCATGCTCCAAGGGGGCTAATGGCCCCAGGCTCCAGCCCAGCAGAGAGGGAAACCTGAGCCCCCCGTTCCGCCGGGCCCTAACCCGGGGGGGTGGGGGGGGCCACACAACCCTGCCCAGGAGGACCTGGGCACAGCCCGGTCACAGCATGGCTCCCCATGGCTGGGGGGCCGGGAGCCCTGGGAGCTGCTTGGCCATGTGGGGACCTTTGGGGTTCCCACTCCACTAGCCCCCTGTCCCCAGAGTGAGCCTGACTCCACACTGGGGATGGTGGCACCCCCAGCCCGGAGGGTCCTGGGGCTGGCAAAGGGCCTGGATGGGGAGTGAAGGGGCAAACAGCCCCAGCAGCCCACCTCAGCCTGTGCGGTGATGCCGGGGCAGGACCGTGCTGCCGTGGGCTGCCCGCCGTGCTGGTGGGATGCTCCAGCTGTGCTGGGGGGGCGGGCCTGCAGGTGCCGATGGGTCCTGCAGACCCTGGCCCAGGCAAGCGGTAACGGGGGGAGCTCAGTGGAAGGATTAGCTCGGCACGGGGCTGTGGGGCTGCCAGCAGGACGGGAGGGACCCCTCAGAGGGACCTGTCACCACGGCCCTGCAGCCCCTGCACCTGGGGGCCACCATGGAGTGCCGGGGGGGGCACAGCCCAGCCCAGGAGGATGGCATCACCACCCCTCCCTCCTATGCCAAAGTCCCCAAGCACCCTGTCCTGCTGCCCCACGGCTCGTCCCCACTGCCTCTTGCTGGGGCTCATCCCCCTGTTCCTGCTGCCCCTCAGTGTAGGTGATGGGTGGGATGGTGGGGGCAGCTGGTCCCCACAGTGGGTGGGTGCCTGGTAGAGGGGTGCAGCATGGGCCCCCTCCAAAGGCCTCATTTAACCCAGCTGCCCCATGAGTGCTCGCTCCACGGGGCCTTGCTCACCCCCCAGCCCCTGCCCCATCCCACAGCCCTCACAGGGGCCAGACCATCAATGCCACCTGGGCGGCCAGTGCGTGGTGCTGGCACTGGCCATGCCACAGGCAAGCGGGGCGGGGGGGGGGCAGTGCTGAGCACCCCTGGCTCCGCCATCCCCGCCACGCTCCGGCAGCACCATCTCCCGCGCCGCCTCCTGACAGAGACAAATGAGCCGCCCGTGCCTGCCACCGCCTTCACACCCCATTGCCGGGGTGAGCGGGGCAGTGCCCAGGGACCCAGCGCATGGGGCCAGCCCCGTGACACCCCCTTGCGCCCCAGGATGGGCCCCCCCCTGCATGGCATCACCTCATCCTCCCAGCCCAGGCACCGCCGGCGCGGCAGCACGGTGCTGTTGGGCCAGCTGCCGGGCCGCACTGTGGGGCTCTGCTCAGCTGCCAACCCGCGGCACAGCGGGACCTGCCAGCGCCTCTCTGTGGGGCGTGGGATGGATGGGAATGGCAGGGACACGTGTGCCGGGACCCAGCCGACACCACCCTGCACCCCGACCCCTTCCCACGCCGCAGCCCACCCCGGGGACACCCGCCGGGCCCATCAGGGCACCCAGCCGTCCCTGCTGGGCACCCCAGTGACCACCAGCGCGTGGCACGGGTATGCTGGCATATGGCTGTCATGGTGGGAATGAGCTGTCATGTCGGCCTGGGGAAATTACCCCGTAACGAGGCGTGCTGGAGATTAGGCTAATGAGAAAATCAAAACACAATTTAATTCCTGTCACTGCCTGATCGTCTTTAAACGACGCCGTGTGGTTCTGACGGGCGGGCATGCTGTGCCCGCACGCCCTCCGGCACCATGCTGGCACCAGCTAGGCCCCTGCCATGCCCCGCGCGGAGGCAGCAGGACCGGGATGGCAGCGCCCGGCTTCCTGCCGGCTTCCCACGGATATGGGCACCGGCGCTGGCACCGGGATGCCCCCACAGCATGGGAACGTGGCGGGGGCGGGGACACCATCCTGCGGGTAGAGGGGCCGCAGCGGATTCTGCCCCAGCCCCGGGGCACGCGGCTGCGGGAGCCTGGGAAAGTGGTGCTCGCCGCAGGGATCCCCCTCCCTGCCTGGTGTGTCCCCCCCCGACAGCACCCAGGACCCCGACACCCCCCTGCAGCTGTGCTGTCCCCACCCTGGGCCAGGGGGCTGGGACTCTGGGACTGGTGTGCCCCCCAGAGAAAGCTCAGAGCAGCCCAGGCTGGTGATGAGAGCAGCCACGGCACCCAGCCCTGCCACCCAGCCCTGCCACCGGCATGGTCGGCACCCCCAGCCCCCAGCCGCAGCCATGGGGACAAGCCCGAGCCCGGCAGCCTCCAGGTGCTGGGTGGCAGCAGGGTGGGTGCCTCCGGCAAATGGGGCGCC